TTTCAGTGTTATCAAGGGTTCAATTTTTTTTTAAAAGATCACATTGGTTAGGTATTCTTTGTTGCACATAAAAAAACATAAAAACAAAACAAAAACCAGACACTGAATTATTTAAAAGCTGATCTAGTAAAACTCATAAACATGAACTTTATCACAGTGAGGTTATGGTTTTTATATTTACCTGTTTCACAATTCTATAATTTCTCTTATCAATGAAATGAGACCTTGGCAGTCATTTTGTTTCTCAGTCCCTAAGTTTCTTTCATAGAAAATAATGTTAAACTAAATGGTTATTAAGGGGTTTCCAGATCAAACATATTTGATTATGTGATTTTTAATCTACATACCACAAAAAGAAGTAACCATTCACAGGAACAGTATCATGGTAAACCCATTCACACTGAATGTATTTAATTCCACACAGGAACAAAAAGTACAGGACCTGAACCCCATTGAAGAGCATTTCAAAAGTGGGAAGGCTAGAGGGGACTGCCTCTGACACAGAGGCTAGTGCGTACACACACACACACACACATACACGCACACACACACACCCCATGTATGTGTATGTATATATGTATCTATCATCTATCTATTTATATGAATGTAATTTTTTCCCCAAAGAAATACTAACTATAATCAGTCATTTACTTCTAGTGCCTGAGGCAATGTTGACATTTACTAAGTGTAAATAATAACAATAAGAAATAATTTTTTTTTTATCTCATAAACTAAAAGGGCACTGGAAAAGTAACACAGCAAAACCAATATTCTGTTAAAGGAACATTGACCTGTGATACAAACGTGGAGTGTTTTTATATAAAGGCATCTTTGATTACCCAGATTCCCATTTCTTTCCAGTCCATACTAATTGAACAGCTTTTAGAGCAATGATTTTGGATAAAGTCCTCTTTTAAACTAATTGATTTAAAAAGAATCATAGGGAGATTTTATTATTAGTATACTCCTAAAATTCCGATATCATTGGAGGAACCACATGATGAATGTCTAAAGCACATTTACAGACTCAAGTTTTCAGAATGTATCTGCTGCAAATATGTACCCTTTCTCCGCCTTTTTAATCCAATTTCACAACTCCATGTGGATGAAAGTGCAAGCTGTCCATGTGCACTCTCATTTTGTTTCCTGATTTTGAAATTATTCCCAGGCTGCCTTTTCAAATAACCATTACTAGAACCTTCCGAGGATGTAAGAGTCACCTCACCCTCGGGGTGAGTTACTGTGCAGTTCCTGAAGCCTCTTCAACCGGCGGAGAACATTTCCTCTTAGTTCTACAACTTCTGCTGTTATGAAAGGATAGGCATGCTTCCAGGGAAAAGGGTAAGCTTAGTATTTCCTTAGCATTAGTATTTTGGTCACCAATGCCTGTAGGTCTTATTTTATTTATGCTGGTTTATGTCTCACTATTTTGAATTCAAATATTACATTAAACTTTTGCAGAAAAAAATTAAAAAGAAAATTTTCTGAATTTAACTGGGGTTTCCAAATTTCTCTCAGTGTTCAAGAGGGCAATTGTTTCTCTGGTTTTCAGATCCTGATGGCTGTAATTGGAAGTATTCACTGAGGAACTGGATGCTTATTAACTACAATAGTGATGTGCAGCACAGCGAAACTTCAATAAGTAAATGGCACGTTTTAAGTAGATTTAAAACAAAGACAGGAATTAAAAGGTCAAAAGTATAAGTATCTCATAAATTATCCTTCTCTCTCTCTCTCTCTCTCTCTCTCTCTCTCTCTCTCTCTCTCACACAGATATATTCTCACACAGATATACACATATACACCCCACACACACACACACACACACACACACACAAACACATATATACAAGCAGATACACACACACACACCACACTCACACACATACTCAAGCACTCTCAAACACAGATATATTCACATATAAGTCACACGATGCAGATACACACACTCACACACACATGCAAGCAGATACACACACTCAGAGGTAGTTCTGGGATGATGTGACAGCATCTCACAAACTGTAGATCTCCTCAGATCTACATAGCTCTATCTTCACATTACAGTTCCCAAATAGGCCCAAGTCAAGGGACAGATTTTCTTTTTAAACACTCCTCTTATTTTCAAATACTTTTTGCCCTAAACCAGAAAAGTGATAGCTTAGTGAGGAGAATCGCATCATAGGCTCCAAGTGTACTGAAAGTGACAAAACTTTTCAAGGCACAAAGTGGTACCAGTATCATATTCGAGATCCACATTCTCTGCAGGTCTGAGATAGTTCCTTTCCACCACCGTATTAGAACGGTCTACTTAGAGTAGGTATTTTGGGTAGAGTCCTTTGCTTTCATGAGTTATGATACAACACTGATTCTGAAATGATGGTAGACATATAGCAGTCATGTGCATGTGTGTATACACTAGTGAGTCTCAACTAGAAAGGGATAAGCAAAGCCATTTCAAGGTCCTCAGAAGGGTGGGGTCAGTTTTGGCTCGAGAACCGTATTTCTAACCCAGTGGAAGTGGAGCTTCCTGTCTCAGGCCTGCATTTCAGGCCCACACAGCCAATAGCTTCTACTCAGTGAGCACGTACACCATGCCAGTCTGTAGGAGCCATTTTAAAGATGTTATTTCCTTTATTCCTCACCTGTGGGCTAAACGACTTCAGACAAACTCGGCATTGTCATCTGTAACTTGGGGATAGGCAAGAGAGTAGTGCTTAGCAGTGTACGCTGGGTTTATTAAGGAGCTCAACTGTGTCTCGTTCTTACTAATATCTTCTGTGTTGACAAGGGGAAACAGAGGCTTCCAGCTAGCAAATGTGTCCACAATCAACACAGTTGGCAAACGATCAAAGTAGGAGGCGGGCCAGCGTCTGTGTGACACTTTGTCTTCCCACCCACTATCCTGGACTCCACTTTAATCAAATCTATTGTTTCACCCATTAGCATAATTGGTACCTTATTAAAACCTCTGCTTTCAGAAAGACAAAACACTGAAGACAACCACAGTTACATTCGGTTTTTCCAACCGACCATCTTGTGCCTTCAGAGCTGGGAGTCCAATCCCCTTGAGTTAGGGGAGAGGAAGGTCTAGTCACTTGCCTGAAGTTCCCCGCCTTCTAAAGCACTCTTTACACATGTGTTGGGGTGCTTGTTCACGGCCCCCGCATAGTCTGCTCACTTTCCTTCGGACTCCCTTAGCTTCCGTTTTGGGCTTGAGTGCTCCTGTTTCAACATTTCCTCGTTATGTGAAGAATTCTCACCATTTCAGGTGCAGTGCCACACCTGTCCATCCACCGCAATAAAACAGGTGATTTTTGTGGGGTTCTCATCAACAGCACATGCCTTTAAGTCCCCCACCGCCAGAGCCACAGTACTCTTGAATGTATAATCATTCGTCTCCTCCATCCCTCCTTCTCATACGGGTAGAACATTCATATCAAAACAAAAACGAATCCTTAACATCCTTTTCCTTTACTAGAGAAATACTTTCCTCCCCTCCTTAATGAATGACAAGAGGTACTATCCCTGATTCATACTGAAGGGAGGGAAGTTTCTTTTGACAGGTCTGCACATGTTCCTTTTTTTTTTGAAATCATTATTTTAGGAATGTCTTGAGAGTTAAGGCTTCTAGGATCTCTTAGGCTAATAAAGGTAGAATTTCAGATGGCTGAACACATCTCTTTCCAGTTCAACTGCTTCCTGAAAAGCTATTGCATCTGCATTAAAAGCCTGAAGTTTCCTGACTGGGAAAGCCTGTGAGGTACAGGAGCCTCAGTGGCCTGAACCTCCCAACACTCAAGTGTAATTTGGGGAGGGACGCAAGGCATCCAGACGAGCCTTTCCTTCTTTGGTGATAGGCAGGCTCGGACTCTGACTTGACAGAGCAGATTCATTAGGCAAGAGAAGGCTCCTTTGGTTTCGATCCCAGTTTCTAAATGTCTCTTGGGAGATAAAGGCTCTCCCTGTATGCTTTCCCAGTCTGTTGGTTATGGCCTCTCCCCTCCATGGCTTTGAAATTTTCTCCTATTCACATGGTCACAAGGAGACAGCCCCAAGGCAGGATGGCAATGCTTCCTGGGTTCTGGGTTGGCTCGGTGCCACCCATGGAAGGGCTTCCAGCATTAGGCAGGGCAGCCCTTGGATTCACAGATGCCCACCACTTGGCCGAACAACAGACCCACGCAATCTTCCTGTCCCCAAATAGCCTTTGCTACATTAATTGCATCATTGATGCATTAAAAAAATTAAGTAGCCTTTTTATGGTAGGGCAGCCATTTGAAGGAGAAGATATTGAAGGCTGGTCTTTGTGACTACCACTGATAACACTTCTTTTATTTCACTTTAGGGTTTATGTTCTTCTGAGCATCGAGGGGCATAGCTAGTGTGTTTGTAAGGAGTTACACTTTGCTTCACACTTTTATGGCATCATTTGCTAGGAAGGAACTGGAGACTGTTTTGACAAAAGATGTCTTAAAGAACAAGGCTAGTTCAACTTTCCGTTTTGTTAGTTTCCAAAACACCAGGATCCTTTGGGAAAAGGGATAGTTTAAAGGTCATGTGTGTGCAGTCTTGGTTAGAACAAAAGAAAACAAATCCTTCATATCGTTACTTCACTTCCACTAAGAGTTAATAAACAGCCACGGAATTAATTTGCTCTGTCCAGCTAACAGCTGCAGCCACAGCCCAAATTCCCAATGAAAACAGACAAATGAATTTGTCTACAGTGGGTACATGCACCTGCTCAGCCTCCCACCCTTTACCAAGTGCATCTAGGTGTTCCCTGACAAATGTCCCCAGCCTGCCAGCTCCGCAGGCGTTGCCTGAAGGACGGGGAGATGCCAGCCCCTATGGGCACAATTCCACAGTTGCCTGTAGCAGGCAGCTGGAGGGACAATGCTTTGTGTGTGTGATGCTTGACGGGCCAGACAGATGGAAAGATGGCCGTGAAAGCCTGGAGGACAGAGATCTCGTATGGGGAGGGGTCCCCTGGGAGCACTAACCTGGAAGATGAGCACTTTGAAGTGGTTGCGTCGGAGGAGCTGGGCGTGGTTGTTCTCCAGCCTCTTCACCTGTACACACTGCTTCTCCAGGCGCTCCCGGACGGCGCGCGTGTGAGCGCTGACCTTGCGGGATTTCTCCAGCAGCTTGTTCACCGTGTTGCTGGTGGAGGCCTGGTACTTGGAGAGCTTGGTGAGGTCGTTCTGGATGCCCTTCACCGAGCCCTCCAGGTGGATCTGTCGCTGTTCCATGTTGTGCTGGTTCTCTCGCACGGTGTCCAGCATGTTGACTAGCTTATCCAGGAGTGTGTGTACGGTGACCGCATTCACCTGCGAGTTGTCCCGGATGGCCTCGTCGGTGGACCCCAGGTTCAGGCTGGGGCTCGGTGTGGAGGAAGGCATCGGGCTGGGGCTGGATGGCTTCTCCTGGAGCATGTCAGCATGTGGGTGCTGAAACTTCTCCGCTTGTGCGGCGTCCTCTCCCATGGCTGGACAGATGGGAACCTGCTTCCCCGCTGCTGCTGGAAGTTTCTTGCTCAGGCAAGAAGTGGGCTGTGGTGAACAGCGCAGGAGGCCCGTTGGTCTGAACCGAGCTCTGTTCTCTAGGGCTAGCAGAGGTTCAGACAGGGAATAACTGGCTACGCTGATCAGGGGAACTGCATTCCAGCTGCTCTTAAAGGCCCTACTCCGCCCAGTGGGAGGCAAAGGTTACAGGACCCACTCCGGTTCAGCGACAAGCACACTTCCTAACCACGTTCCCCACAAGCCCGAGCTCTTTACTGCACTGGCCTTTTTTTCCCCCTTCCCTTTTTAAAACAAGTTCAATGCCATATTTCAATCATGAGTTCATTTAGAGGCGGAGAGAAACATGTTAACTTGGCTGAGTTCCCCAGCCTCTGATTGGCTAAAGCTGGTAAACTTTCCTCGGGCTGCTATGTTACAGACCGCCTGTTTTTTTTTTTTTTTCCTGGATACAAGTTATTGTAACCGAAAGTATTGTTTGCTCTTGCGGCAGAGCTGGCTGATAGGTTGCAGAACACAGAGTGCCCTTCTGGGAGGGGTAGAGTTGAAGGGGTCTGTGCGGGCCAAGTTTGTGGTGTTCCGTTTCTCATTTGCAAAGGAATGGAATTTACTCTGATAATGACAAGGGAAACAGCCTGGTGCCTGGTGCGTCCTACTCTTGCAAGAGAGGACGCAATCCAACATGAAAGAGCTTAGACTTCAGGGATGTTAAGACAAGAGGCGTTGCACGCTGTGAACTGTTACATAAGGATGGAAACCTTTTGAATGAATGCTTTCTTAGAATCACAGACACTTAAAAAAAAACTTTTTTAAAAGATGGAAAGAGAAAAAAGAGAAAGTGCTGATCTGTCTCCATTAATTCTGAATTCATGCCGAGAATTTCTCAATTCCCATCCTTGCGAGGCGTTTATTGACACAGCCCAGAAGTGTGACGGCGGCGGGCGGGCCAGGTTGAGTTGGAGTGGTTCTAACGCTTGACATTTCCAGATTCCTGCTCCGTGAAGTGGCACACCCGTTCTCACATGTGGCCCTCCTTAGCCGGGCCTTTGGGATGTGGGGCTTATTTCCTCAGACGACTTTACATGCTTGAGTTGGTCTTAAATGAATCTAGACCGTGCAGGTGCTTTTAGGAGGAAGTTTGTGACAGAGCCGCATGAAGGATTTCAAGAACAAATGTCAGCTCATACTGGGTCAGGGACCCATCATGGGAGGGTGCCTTTCTTAATGGCAATATCTCCACGTAAACCAATGAAATAATAGCTCTCATGGTGGCATGTTCATTGGTTCCCTTATCCTTGGCTGCATGCCGTATGCAGGGAGTATTCACAGAGCATGTGCCAGGAAGATGCCTTCAATGAGTACCTGCCTGCTCATGAGAAAGATGCATTAAAGACACTATAGAGGCCCCCAGTTTCCTCAGATAGTTGGTAGCTCCCCCAGCCCACTTAAAGGGAAGCCTTTGGGAACAGAGATTTCAAAATGCCAGAAAAAGATTTGATTGGAATTTTGCCTTTTAAGAAATTAAGAAAATTTCTTTAAAAAAAAAAATAAAACCCTTACATTTAGTACATTTAAGTCCGACAAAGATGTGTTAAATATTTAAACAAAAATATGAATCTAGTGTTGATTTTCAAAAGCTAAATTTTCTAACAAAATTATATGGTATCGTGATACCATGTCCTTTTACATTTGACTTTTGTGGGCAAATCATAGAGTGTCATAATTTCAAAAATATTGGAGCGCTTCATCATTTTTCCAAGGGCCTCTCTTAAATTGTGACATTCAAATCGTTCCTCTGAAGCTCTTAGTATGCTGTCATTCATCTGGATTTCTTCACCCGAGTGTTAACCATTACAGTTGCGGGTTCTCCACTGTCGTAGGAACTGTCCACGACTCAAGGGCTCCTCCGACATTACCTTCATCAATTTCATGATTTCCTATTTTGAAAGATTTGCAATTTCACATTATAATCACTTCACTCTGATTTTGCATTGATTCACACACATTTTGCATTGCATTGTTGGATATTGTATAATCAGCTAGATGAATTAGAGGGTGGGCGTGAAGTGGGAAAAAGCACAGGGCTCCTTGTAAACAAGAAGGTTGGTATGTGGATTGTTTGTTCGGTTGAGATGGGTTTCACTCTGTAGCCCAGGCTGATCTAACACTCAAAGCAACCCATCTGACTTAGGCTTCCTAGTGCCAGGGTTACAGGCGTGAATTGTCATGCCTGTCCTGCACTTATTTATGTTCTAAGTTTATCTTAAATAACACAAATGACACACCAACAGCCTGGCTCTGTAACAAAGCAGCCTAAGATTCAGCGGTTTATAGTAACACATCCCTGACTCACAGCTCTTTGGCTCAACTGGTGCAATCACTTTGCCTTGCTTGTTTGAGTTTGCAGTTTGAGGAATGCAAGATGGCGCGACCTTATACATAGCTGGTGTCACTGCTGGGCTGACTAGAACACCAAGACTTCTCTCTTTCAACTGTTGAGGTTCTAGAAACTCTGATCTCTCTAGCAGGAAAACCAAACTTCTTTCGGTGGTGCCTTAGAGTTACAAGAGATTAAAAGCAAAAGCTGAAGGCAGTTTTAAGGGCAGCACATGGAACTCTGCGCTTGGCATGTCCACAATGTTCTGAGGCCCAGGCAGGCCACAAACCCAGCTCAGATTCAGAGGACAGAAGCTGACTACCAGTTTATGAGACAAACAGCAATACTTTATAGCAAAGGATGAGTGTCATAGGAGAGATTGCTCTCACCATCTTTGGACATGACCTGCCATGGTGCAAATGCATTCTCTGAAAATGCTGTTGCACATAAAACTGAAGGCTTTGGTCATTTGTGTGAATTAGAAGAAGCAATCTGAGGGAAAACTTTCTGTCCTTTAAAAAACAAAAAGACAGAATGTGTGTGTGTGTGTGTATGTATGTGTCTGTGTGTGTGTGTGTATGTGTCTGTGTGTGTGTATGTGTGTGTGTATGTGTCTGTGTCTGTGTGTGTGTGTGTGTATGTGTATGTGTGTGTGTGTGTATGTGTGTGTGTGTATGTGTGTGTGTCTGTGTGTGTGTGTGTGTCTGTGTGTGTGTGTGTGAAGTACAAATGGTGAGTTAGAATTTAACTCTGAGTGTCCAAGCCTCTCCCTTGTCTTGCCTCAAACCAAGTCCTGTGTCTGTCAGAGAGAAATCAGTGAAGTAAAGCAGTCAGTTCTCAAAGAATTTAAACAACGTAAGTCTGTTACATTTTACGCAATTCTTTACAAATCAGGTAGTATGTAGACTTATAATGTCATGAGCCATAAGAATCTCTTGGCTGTTGTTGAACATGTGAGAGGTGGGTAAGAAGATCAGTGCAGCACTCACATGTAGGAGGGGCAGCTTAGGGTGGAAAACACTTATCGGACGGGAAGTAAGTGCTCGACTTTGGGGTGCAAAGATGGATGAGCGGCACATACTTTCCCCTCTTAAAAGTGCTTTCATGGTGGGAAAACTAGGCAGCCAGGGAGGTGGAAGGTCTACATACTGCACAGGCTGAAGAAAGGAAAGGCTGATTTGGGCTCACAGTCCATCATGGAGTTGGGATGGACGGCTCTGGCTGTGGCAGCAGGAGCTTGAAGAAGTTAGTCCTGTGGCAAAAAGAGTGAGGAGCCAGGGAAAGATGACTGGTGGGACCTCCCTTGTTTTCTCCCTTTCATCTGAACAAGGACCTAACCTAATGACCACATTCATCGTCTGTCTTCACTCCTCAGTAAACCTTTCTAGAGACCCCCTCCCCATACTCCTAGAGGTGTGTCTCCCAGGTGACTCAAAAAAAAAATCTTCAAAATAAATCCGTAGAAGTTACAATCCAGGTCAACCATCCTAAGTACACAGGCATGCTGCAGAGAGGACTGGTCATTTCTGCTGCAGTCAAGGTCTGTGAGGGTATGACAGGGTGTGATTATGAATTCTACCAATACCAATGCCAATACCTCAGGTGTCTAAGTCAAGTAAGCTCAGACATCTCTGTAGGAAAATGCCTACTTTACTACTAGCTAGGGCTTTGATCCCAATCTCCAATGTTCACCCATCCCGACCATGACAGAGAATTCTTGCTTGATTACTCTAGCACCATAGAATTATGCTAGCATCATTTAATTGAACCAGGCTCAATTCAATGCCTCTTTTATTCGTCTTTCCCATTTAGACTTATATAGTAATCCTAGAATTATTGGTCCTACTGTGATGATGCTGATAGAAGCACTGAATGATGAACATGTAGCAGTGAAGGCCACTTTCCTAAGAGACCAGAGAAGTTAAGCTGGGTGCTCAATACATTTCCTTTTGAGCTTCCATACTGGAGTTTAAAAGTCTTTCTAAAGTTGATGTCTCTTGAACAGGAAGCAGTCGCCAGGACATTCGAGTATATTATCTACAAGAACAGTACGATGGGACATCTACATGTTTTATGTCATCAAGTTTTGAGGTGGATTACAAATGATAACGGACTATTGAGAACATACAGTTGCACTAAAAATACACTTTTTAAAGAATTGTTATTAGTAGTCTAATATGCACCAGAACCCCTCTATTAGTGCTTTTTAACTTTTATTTATTCTTAATTCTTTTATTTTTGAGATTATAATGCAATCACATCAATTCCCCCTTTGCTCTCTCCAAACCCTCCCATACACCCTTCCTTGCTCTGTCCTCTCTCTCCATATACATATGGATATATATATGCATGCATGTTTCCAGCGCTGACCATTTGGTATTGGATGACCAATTGTGGTTTTTCCCTAGAGAAGGCTATTTCCCCCACTCTCAGAATTCCTCAGTTCCCTGTAGTTCCTTGTGCAGGGTTGAGGTCATGTGGTCCATTTCTCATTCCCCTTATCATGTCTATTGTTCCTATAACCCAACTCCCACGGTAAATGTGATCATGAACATTGTCAGTGTGACGTGATCTGTAATCACTTAGGGGACACACCTCCGGGTACCTTGTAAAGAATTATTAAAGGAGATTAAAAGAGGTAGGAGACCTCCCCTAAATGTGAGTAGCATCATTCCATGGGCTCAGGTCCTGGACTGAATGCTAGGATAAAATCAATGCAGTGTGACCAGCTGCTTCAGCCTCCTGCTTCCACGACCTCTTCGCCATGATAGACAGTTCCCTGGATGCTGAGACAAAATAAGTCCTCCCTTCCTTAATGCGACTTTGGTCAGGACATTTTGTCACAGCAACAAGACAAGTAGCTGAAACCATAACCCTGTAAACAGAGGTTTTTGCAATGACTCTTAAAATATGAAAAAACATTGTGGGCTTCATACTGAAGAGAGAGTGTTAAGAGCACAGGACTACGATCAAAACATACTATGAATAGAGAAAAATGTGCAGAGGATCATCTGACGATGCCTGGATGAACCGGATGGATCCTACATCCTACACTGAAGGCACTATGCTGTAGTAGATTCAGACAAAATGTGAACACACAGTTTTTAGAAATCTCGGAGTTCCCACTTGCCTTGTCCTCTCAGCTAAGGCAACTAAAAGGGATAGTCTTCACTTTCATGAGAAATGCCCACGAGGAAGCACGTGATTACATGACTCCAATATCTCCATCAAGGAGTCCCCTTAAAAGCTGTCATTGATGTGGGGAGTGGGGGTGAGGGGCTAGAGAGATATCTAAGCTGTTGAAAGTACTTGCTGCTCTTGCAGAGGCTCTAGGTTTGATTCCCAGCACCCCCCACGGTGGCTCTCAATCATTTTCTAACTCTAGAAGCACGAGATGGGATGATCTCCTCTGGCCTCTGTACACACTAAGCATAATTGTGGTGCTCAGATATTGATGCAGACAAAAGATTCACAAACATAAAGGTAAATAAACAACAATTTAAAAAATGATGTCAGTGGAGAAACCCACAAGGAAAAAGCACAGAAATCAATGAGCTCCTGACATATAACGTAGCTCCTACCCACTCACTTCCCACGTGCCGCCAATTAGAGAACTCTAAGAATTTTGAGATTATAGAAAGGCCTTCCTTTGTAAAAAATAAATTTAATTTTGTGTGTGTGTGTGTGTGTGTGTGTGCACACGCTGTGCACTCATGCATGTGCCTGCATACATATATTCACTGACATGCATGTGGAAGTCAAAGAACATCTTTGAAGAGTTGGTTCTTTCTTTCTACTTTGTCAAGGCAGGATCTCTCTCGTTTCCTCAGATTTGCTGTGTACTTCAGGCTATTTGGCCTGTAAGTTCTTGGCTTGTAGAAATCCTGGAGTGCAGATGGGACCACACATCCAGCTTTTATGTGGGTTTTGGGCATTGAACTCAAATTGCCAGGCTTGGGTAGCAAGCACTGTTACCTGCTGAGCTCCATCCTGGGGTTTTCATGCATAATTCCTTCTCTGGCTCTTGTGTGTGCACATTTCTCCACGTTCCATATTGTGCCTGTTCAGTTGTAAACACAAACTCCTTTCTGAAGTCAGGCAATCCACACACGTAGTGTTCATAAGTAGAGTAGCTATCTGTGAACTTTCAAGGTCCATCAGGGAGATTTCTGACATTATGATAGTTCCCCCCCCCCATCATATTTTCTCCTTACTTCCATCTATTCCCCAGTTTATGAAGAGAAACTTTACTTAAATGCTGGATAATGGGTTTATTGTCTATTCACCAAAGATGTGCTGTTGTTGCTTTTAATCACAAAAGACAGTTTCTTCTTTTCTTAAGAATTCTGGTGCTAGCTGAGGCTAGAACATTGTTCATCAATAATTTATTAATGCATGTGCTCAACAATTAGTATTGAGTGAGATTAGGTACTGGGAACATACCCGTAACCAAGAGACAAAGTCCTTGTTTCTATGAAGCACACATTCTCAAGAGTGGATTGTGCTGGAAAAACAGTGAAGCAGGATAAATCCCCTAG